GTGGACAGGAAGTGATGGAAAGGGGCAGTAATGAGGAAGAGGTGTGTGTTGTGTGTTGGTTTGTCATTAGTGAAGGGAGGAGTTGGTGGCCAATAGGTGTGTGCATGTGTACATACATATATGTGTATATGTGAATGTATGAATATATTTGGAAATGTAGGTATGTATGTTTGTATGTGCATATATATATATGTGTATATATATGTAGTTGTATGTGTATGTATATATGTAGTTGTATATATGTGTATATATAGACACGAATATATATACGTATATGCTGTACATGAACATACAAAAAAATATATATATGCTGTATATGCACAATCAAACATACATAGCTACATTTGTAAATATATCCATAGATGTGGAGTGTGGTATTGAAGTAGTGATTATGAACATGCTGTTGTGTAGGTGATGGTGATTGGCACATGCGTGGTAGAGTAATACAGTGTAGGGAGGGTGGATGACAGGGGTAAAAATGTAAGCTAGGTACGCTGCGATGATGCCCGATGATGTGGCGGTGGGTGTTTGAATGCAAGTAGTGGAAGTAAAGAAGTGTTGTAGACATGTGTGAAGGTGTAGTGGGCAGACGTTAGAAGAGATGTGTAGCCTTGGCAGACGCAGGCACAGATAGGATGTGGGTTGTGTGTGTGTCATGCTTGTTGTTGTAGTTGTTGTTGGGGTGGTGGTAGTGTGCTGTTGTGTAGGTGGTGTGTGGATGAGTTTGGGTAGGGTTTGGTGGGTCTGTGTGGCTGGCCAGTTGTGGGTGGACATGGGCAGTTGTTGGTAGTTGTGTATGTGGATGTGCAGGTGTGTGTGTGGTTGTGAGAGGAAAGGGGAAGGGATGTTGTTGCAGGTGACCTTATGTTGATGTGTTGGTGTTGTGTTTGGTGGAGGAATGTTAGCAGAGTGGATGTTAGAGGAAATGGTGTAGGAGCGTTGAGGTTTGTTGCTGGTGTTGTATGATGTAGTTGCTGGGGGTGTTTAATGGGGCAATGTTGGTGAAGGGAGACGTTAGGTTGTTCTGTGTGTTGGCAAGTCTGTGCTGGAGAACATGTGGCAGTGGTATTAGTAGTGGTAGTAGTAGTCGTAGTAGTCGTAGTAGTGGTTGTTGACGTAGTAGTAGTATTGGTAGTGGTTGTAGTAGTAGTAGTAGTAGTATATATGCACCTTATTGTTGTTGCACCTTAATGTTCGTCGTTCAGTATTGTCTATGTCTGTCAGCGCACGGGAAGGCGAGGAACGTAATTTAGATACCTCTGTAGGTCAAGGTCAAGGTCAAGGTCAGCTTTATTGTCAATACCTTCACATGTACAGAACATACAGAGGTATCGAAATTACGTTCCTCGCCTTCCCGTGCGCTGACAGACATAGACAATACAGAACGACGAACATTAAGGTGCAATAACAATAAGGTGCATGTGTAGCTTTAAGGTGCTGTATGGTCTGTAAAAATATATACATGAGGTACATAATAAATATAGTAATAATATAATTAGCAGCAGATGAGGTGGTAATAGTGCATTGTATTACAAGTCAATAGTGCATTTATGGCATTTCAA